AACACTACATAAATAAGACACCTTGTGTCTAACTGAGTTGGGTCTATAAACCTAGATTTGCTCAATCTGTATATACAGACACATCTGGTTTATCTTCACTCATTGGGGAATGTGCTCTTGCGTGTAACTGGTTCTGATGACTGTCCTCAGGGTTGACTGTGGTCTATTTCCCATGGCCCCAGGATTAGTATATCTTTTTTAGTTTTTTCCTTGGGAGGGGTATGTATATTGGTCTAGAATTTTCTTCCTTTCTATTCTTGTCAAATCCCCACTCTTCCCATAGGAAGTCTCAGATATACTATCACTTTCTCCATGAAATTTTCTTTGGACATTCTTCTGTCTGCTCCAATTGAAATGGATTTATTCCCTCCTTTTGGCTTTCTTATCACTTTCTGTTCACCCCCATAATAGCCCTGTAATGAACACCTTCCATTTTTTTTTCCTGGTACATATTTCTTTGGGGAGCTGCCATTTGATTCAAGTTGGTCACTAAACCTGGGGTCCTAACACTCAGCCACATGGGAGAACACATGGTATAATCTAGGCAAGTTAGGTTTTCTCTTCTGGGCAGCTAGCTGAATGTTGCGAGGTGACAAAGGGACTGAAAGTAGATGAACCTAAGTCATCAATAGCAATCCATAAAAATGGACCACAGATTTCCTTTCCCCTGAGACCCCTGGAGCCGCTCTTGTTCCTGTTCTCAGCTTTCTCTTTGATCCTGTGAGTAGCCCAATGATAATGTCCTTTTTTAGCTTTCGCCTGTTATGGATTAAATTGTGTTCCCCCAAAATATGTACTGGAATCTTAACCCTAATACCTGTAGATATAATCCTGTTTGGAAATAGGATTTTCTATATTATGTTAATAAGGTCGTATCACTGTAGAATTTGTCTTAAACCTAATCACTTCTGAGTTATAAAAAGAGCAGATTAACACCTCATAGGATTTGATTTCTTACTTTGGAGGGTTGGGGTCATGGTTTCATGTGACATCCCAGGTAATTGGCCTAATATTATTTTCAGTGCTTCTGTTCTACCTCCTATTTTGATGAATAGTGCTTGGGGTCTTAAAACCTTGCAAGTGGCCATGCAAGGTACAACAATCGGTCTCTACTGTCCTGGAGCAGCAGAGGAAGAGGGAGGGTCATGAGTAAGAGGAGAAAGTGGAATGCATGCCTAAGCGCCCCCATGAACAACTGCCTTCTTTGCCATGAGACCAGAAGAACTGGATGGTGCTGGCTACCATTACTGAATATTTTGATCAAAGGTTTCTATAGCAGAATCATGATCAAAAGGAGGAAAAATGTGGAACAGAGTTCCAAATTCTCATGGAATCCATAATTTCTGGAACCCTTGAGCCTGGATGAACCCCCAAAACTGCTGGCCTAAGAGAATCTTTAAATCTTAAACTTCAAATAAAAAGTATCCCCTGAAGTCTTCTTTAAACCAAACAGTAGTTTAGCTTATTTATTAAAGAATGTTTGCATTGAACATCAGCTCTTTTGAAGAACTATCTGTACGGGATCAAATTGGTAACAGCAACTCAAAAGGTCACATGGGAAGCTTGGGGGACAGTGAGTTCCTGTTAATGGAGGAACAATTCAGAAAAGGAGGGAGTTTTAGGCTGGGTTCTCTAGAGGAGCAAAACAAGTGAAGCATATATATAAATATATATAAAGAGATTTATTTCAAGGAAATGGCTCACACAGTTGTGGAGGTTGGCAAGTCCCAAATCCATGGGCTGGGCAGCAGGCTGGAGGCTTCTCCTGACTCATGTGGTTACAGGGGCTGATGAACCCAAGATCTGCAGGTCAGGTGGCAGGTGCTGGCTCATGGGGTTGCGGGAACTGGCGAATCCAAAATCTGCCGTTCAGGTGGCAGGCTGAAGGCTTCTCACGTCCCAAGAACTGAGGGTCAGAGGATGATGAGACAAATGCAGGATTGAGGGAGAGTGCTTTCATATTCATTGGATGCAGGCCACACCCCCAGGGAAACTCCCTTTCCCACTGATTGGCTGCTCACATCAGATCACAAAATGGAGGAAGATTATGTAATGTCTGCCAGACCACTGAGAATCATGGCCTTGCCAAGTTGACACATGACATTAACCATCACAGAGGGCGAGAATAGTTGCACAATTTGGAGAATGTAATCAATGTCACTGAACTGTACGGTAGAAATTGTTGAACTGGTGCATGTTTTGCTGTGCATACTTTCAACAACAATTAAAAAAAAAAAGAGCAGATTAGACACACAGGCATGCACACCGAGGGAAAGACAGTCACCACGTGAGGATCGCTCAGGAACTGAGGAATGCCCAGGATTACTAACAAGGAAGTCATCGACATGGCCAACATTGTGATTTGGACTTTAACCTCTAGAACTGTGAGAAAATACATTTCTGTTCTTTAAAGCCACCCACTTGTGGTATTTGTGTTACAGGAGCACTGAGAAACTAAGACAACCTCTAAGGAACCAACTTTAATGGTTAAAAGATAAGTTCACAGGAGCGCATTACAGGCAACAGATCCCAAAGGAAATGTTAATGTTTGGAATTGTTTATTTGACTGAGGTGTGATTCCCATTCATACTTTGGGACGTGAATGGAGTTGCTCATGGTGCACGGTGGTAAGCCAGCTAATCAGGTTATTTCCTTTGGTTCCCTGAGACTGGGAATATACCGAAGGAGAGCTGAAGGCCCCAACTACGTGTTGTGCAGACCACTTTAAGGCAGATGAGAGCAGCTGAGGTTGCAGGATATCATTATTGTTTCTGACTCATGAGCTGATTTAAAGTGAGAAAAGAACACTGAAAATCTCAATTCTCCTGAGAGGCATGACATAAATATTAGGGTCTTTACTTGGTATCCTGAAAGAATCCTTGGTGCTTTGGCCTTGACATCTCTGAAAAACCAGTATTAGACTGATTTTGCAGGTTCCTAAATTAAAGTTGAATTCACCATCTCACCAGGATTCTTAGATAAAACTTACAGCACTGATAAGGAAAAGATGGGGTTCCTGAAATTGACATGGCATTGTCTGGGCAGATTAGGAAAACTCCAGAACCCCAGATTCCAAAGCCACCGTCATATGGCCCTCCTTATGCTTCCCTAGCTGGGAGAAGCTGTCCCTCCTTGGAGCAAAAGCCAAAAGTTGCCCTGCTCTAACAGCAGCGAATTTACCAGAATTTAAACTTAACCTGTCTGGTGTGTGTGTTCATGTGCTACAGATTCAGAGTAAGAAAGAGGAGGAGCTGCAGGAATTCACTGATTTATATTACCAAAGATCTGCAGAGCACCTGAGGAGATAGACTTCAATGGTGGCGGACTAAGAAGGGCACAACTAGTTTTGGTTAGAGCTGACATTGTTTACATGCTGTCCTCACCAGAGCTCGCAACTGGTTGTGATTCTAACAGTATGCTGGGTTGCTTAATGCAAACCTAGACCAAATCCTGGCTCAAGCAAAGGGACATCATAGGCCCAGAAATCTTGACATAAAATGTAGAGGAAGGAATTAAATGTAGCAATAAAGGCATGCGGATATGCACCTATGATGGGTGTAGACTTCATCTGTGATCAGGGACTCAGGTTGTCCAAGCTACCCATCATTAATTGTGTTCTAATTTATTATCCTAGCCTTAAAATTGACTGTGTCCAGGAATACTGCATCATCATGTGGAAGCAGTAAATACTGAACTGAGTCTGGTAAGTCCCTGAAAACACAATGGATGTCTGGATGTCATCGGATGACATCATTCACACTCTCTAGGTGACTACGCTCCACTGCCATTCCTCCGTCTTTCCCTCAACCCACATGTATGGCTACATGAAGTGACCTCTACTACCAATCAAGGAGCCTGATGTAAGGATGTGGCAGCACATAAAAGAAATGGACAGCTGAGGCATTAGATCCATTTTTGGTGAAAAGGAAAGAAGTCCTCTTGTACCCTGCCACTTTGCTGAATCTTTCTATTAGATCCAGTAACTTTCCTGTGGAACTCTGGGATTTTCTATGTGTAAGATCATGTTGTCTGAGAATAGAGATAGTTTTACTTTTCTTCCTTTCCAATTTGGATACCCTTCATTTCCCTTTCTTGCCTTGTTGCCCTGGTTAGAACTTCCAGTACAATATTGAATAAGAGTGGTGATAGTGGTTATGCTTGTCTCATTCCCATTCTCAAGAAGGCTTTCTCCATTGAGAATAATGTTTGCTTTCGGTTTTTCATATATGTCCTTATATATGTTGAGGAATTTGGCTTTTTTTTATTATTATAAATATATAGGTAACAAAACATTTGCCCTTTCTACGTTCTTCACACGTACAGTTCTACGTACACCATGTTGTTCAACCATCACCATTAACCATTCCTGAATTTTTCCATCACCCTCAATAGAAGCTTAGTGTCCCCTAAGAATTATGTCTTCTTTTCCCCCTCCCTCCACCCTTCCCTGGTAACCACTAATAAGCTTTGATCTCTTGCCTATTCTAGATATTTCATATAAGTGAGATCATACAGTATTTGCCCTTTTGTGACTCACTTATGTCACTCACCGTAATGTTTTCAAGGTTCATTAATGTTGTAGCATTTATCAGGACTTCATTTCTCTTTACGGCTGAGTAATATTCCATTGTATGTATGTAGCACATTTTGTTTATCCATTCCTCTGTTGATGGGCATTCAGGCTATTTCCACCTTTTGGCTATTGAGGATAGTGCTGCAGTGAACACTGGTGTAGTTTTCATTGTGTGTTCCTGCTTTTAATTATTTTTGAGTATATACCTAGGAGTGGAATTGCTGAATCACATGGTAATTCTATGTTATGTTTCCCACAGTGTCTGTACCATTTTTTTTTTAGCATTCATGTAATAAACGTAATAAGTTTATTTACAAACATAACCCATATTCTATGTGAGTTCAGTATAGTTTGATCCAGTTCTCAGAAGCTGAACTTCTTAAAATGCCCCTCTTCTTATCTGTTTCATGGGTGAACTTAAACATCCTTATTTCTTATGCAGTTGGTGTCTTACTATAAAGAAGGGTGCAGCAAATCCAGATCCAAAGTACACAGTCATCATAATTAGTAACTTCCACTTGTTTTCCACTGGAAATGGCAAATTCTTCCCTGGGCCCTCCTTATAGTGGCTCCTGTGGACCACAGAGGTGGTAGACTTCCAGATGCTCTGCCCCAACATGGTGCTGTTGGAGGCTCTGCCACAGTGTCTGTACCATGTTACATTCCCACTAACAATGGACGAGGGTTCCGTTTTTTCCACATCCTCACCAACACCTGTTGTTTTCTGTTTTTTAATCATAGCCATACTAGAGGGTGTGAAGTGACAGCTCATTGTGGTTTTGATTTGCATTTCCCTAATGACTAATGATGTGGAGCATCTTTTCAGGCGCTTGTTGGCTATTTGTATGTCTTTAGTGAAATGTCTATTCAAGTCCTTTGCCCATTTTTTGATTGGGTTGCTCGTCTTTTTGTGGTTAAGTTGTAAGAGTTCTTTATATATTCTGGATATTAAACCCATATCCAATATATGACTTCCAATTTTTTTTCCCAATTTGTAGGTTGTCTCTTAGTTTTCTTTCTTTCTTCTTCTTCTTCTTTTTTTTCTTTCAATTTTCCCACTATCTTTATTCAGTTTTAGTGTTAAATTTATTCTGACTTCATAAAATAAATTAGGGAGCATAGTTCATGGATTGAATGTTTTAAGGAACACTGGAATTACTCCTTCTTGAAAGGTTAGATAGAACTGATCATGAAATCATCTAGGCCTGGAATATTTTTCAATTATAGATCTCTAATCACTTTTACAAATTCTTTAATGGTAATTGTTCTAACAGTTTTTCTACTTTATATTGCAATTTCCATAACTTACATTATGCTAGAAAACCATCTGTATCTTGTTTTAAAATAAGTGGATCTACAGTTGTATGAGGTATCTTGTATCATTCTTTTAATCACTTCTATATCTGTGGTTATGATTCCTTTCTTATTCTGGATCATGCATTTTTGAAGGGAGGCAAATCTTGAACAATGTAGGTTCCAAGTAGCCATTTCTTTTCTTTTATGGATGACATGGCAGCCCAGGGAAGCAGAAAACTTTTTTGAAACTTGACATTTAGTGTCCAGGGTGTTCACAAGGAAATATAAGGAAGATAAATGGACGTTGCTGAATTCATTTGCAAAAGATAAAAGAAAGAAAAAAAATTTTCCTTCATTGGTCTCTGCATGAAACATTTCTGAATTATAAGACCCATACAAAGAGCGTCGTTTCTACTAATATGTTGTAAGATATTTTAAGCAAGACTAAGAAAATAGGAATAGTGCACAATATACCAGAGTCACACTACTTTTTGTCAAATAGTGAATAGTGAGTAATCAAGTTTACAGTATTTTGTTCTGCCAATATCAGATTGTGAAACTATTCCTTAAGTTTGCATTTTCAACATAAATAACTATGTTTTTAATAAAGTGTTTTGTTGAGTTAACAGAAGACTTATAACAAAACATTGCTTTATTATTTAGGAAAGGGCTCAATGACAACTACTATAGTCATTAACATTTATTATGAAAAGGTGGAGAAAAAGTAGGTGGTGTGTTAAAGTTATTTGAAAATAGCTGACCATGTTATTTAAATTATTATTGGTTTTTGTACATGTATGACACCAAAAGACGATATTTAGTGTAGAAAACTTTGGCGGATGGCATTCTATGTACAATATGGCATATGTGTTCGATATTTGCAATTTATGTTAAATTCACATTTATAATTCCAAAATACAGATAGTGCTTATTACGTAGCTCACTGCAGAATGTACCACAATACACCTTTAAGTCTCTTCGCATATATTTTGTATTCTATTGTCCTTACAATTAATACATTTTTGAATTTTCATATGCCAGAGTGACAATTTCTATGATATATAAAGTATTTCCTATACTCTTTTCTATAAAAGTAGGAGCATGAGTTCTGTTATGGCATAACACTTTGCCCAAATTCATTAAATTGTTAAGGTTTCTCCTAAGGATGAATTGCACAATACACAATGAAATTGGGTATCTTGCTTAAAGCTTTCCCATAATTATTAGGTTTTCATTCCTGTAGGCATTGTTCCTAGCATGAACTTTCTGTTGTTTACTCAGGTTTGGCTTCTGGTAGAAAGCTTTGCCACATTCATTGCACCCATAGGGTTTTTCTCCTGTATGAGTTCTCCAGTGTTTATTGAAACATGACTTTTGGCTAAAGAATTTCCCACATTCTCTGCAGTGATAGGATTTTTCTCCTGTGTGCATTTATCGATGTACATTCAGGTGTGACTTCTCACCAAATGACTTCCCACATTTGCTTCCCACACAAAAGCTCTCTCTCCTGTATGTGTCCTCTGGTGTTCTGTGCAGTGTGACTTTTGGATAAAGGCTTTCCCACAAAAGAAACATTCAAAAAGTCTTACCCCAGTATGAATTCTCTGGTGTTTAATGAGGGTTGACTTATGTGAAAAGGTTTTCCCACAGTCAGTGCATCCATATGGCTTCTCCCCAGTGTGACTTCTCTGATGCCTAATGAATTCAGACTCATAGCAAAAGGCTTTCCTGCACTCACTACAGATGTGGGGTTTCTCTATAGATGGAATCCTCCTCCGTTTGTACATAAGAGAATTGGTTACTGCTGGTTTATACGTAAGTGCTGGGTTATGACTGAAAATTTTCTCACACTGACTGCATTCCCAGCATTTTTCTCCATTAGGTCTTCTCTCGTGATTCATAAACTGTAACAGTTTCTCATATCTGTAACATTCATCTTTCTTTTTGAACAGTTTCTTTTAAAACCAATCATGTTCAAATTATGTTTCAAGCTCTTTCCACATGGGTCCCAGTTATTGGGGCTTTGAATTGAAGGAAAAATTTCAGTCCTCAGAAGAGATATTTTCCCAAATTTATTACATCAATGGCTTTTTTCCTTGGGCAATGCTTTCTTGATGATGAATACACCTTGTCTCAAAAGTAGGTCTTGATGTCTTTTCCTGTGGACATTAACTTCCCAGAAGTCTTCTTGACAGTAGCAACCTGGGCACACTGCCTTAGAAATCCATGGTTCTTCTTCCTACTCCAGTTTGAGTATCACATCTGGTTTGGTGCCTTCATAACCTGTCCCGGGGAAATGATACAGGCCTTGGGCTGAGCTCCTTGATCTTCAGGGTCCACTGAAATGAGGTTTCTATAGGTCTCCAGCATCACATCCTGGTACAGGGCCCTCTGAGCAGGAATGAGCTGGTGCCTCTACTCTTGGGCAAAGCCCACGACCACATCCTTTAATGACACAGATCTCTGCTGAAGCTGATACTCAATCATTTTCTACAATTCTTGGAAAAAGATCTGTGACCTCTATAATCTTGGGGGTGTCAGAAAGCTGGGCACTTTCTTGGTGGATGGGTTCTTCAGCTACAGCCCTTGGCAGGGCCTTCTGTAGAGGTGACCAAGGTCCAGTTGTCCTGAGGGCTGGCAGGAGCTGGAGAGCCCATCCAGCAAGGTGACAAGATCCAAGGGTCTGCACGTCATCCAGGGAACTCAGTAATATCTTTGTTTTCTAACCACAGGCAAGGTCACATCCATCCTAGCTGCAATGTAGTCAGAATGGATTTCCAGAAACCAGGCTTATTCCTGGATGCTATTGCAGATGGGCATGTTATTACCTTTTCCAGAAAGAACCATGGTATCAGTTGTGCCCATCCAGAGTGGCCGGTGCACAGACTCAGTCGTGACTTTTTGTCTCTTAATTTTCTTGATAAAGTCCTTTGATGAACAAAAGTTTTTTCATTTTGATGAGATCCATTTATCTATTTTGTCTTTTGTTGCTTGTGCTTTAGGTGTCATATTTAAGATTATCAGAAATTAGATCCTAAAGCATTGTCTGTACATTTTCTTCTAGACGTTATATGAATTCAGATCTTACATTAAGGTCTTCAGTCCATTTTGAGTTAGTTTTTGTATATGGTGTGAGGTATGGGTCCAGGTTTATTCTTTAGCCTGTGGAAATTCAGTTGTCTGTGCACCATTTATTGAAGAGGCTGTATTTTCCCCATTGGACGGACTCAGCACCCTTATCAAAAATCAACTGACTATATATGTGTGGTTTATTTCTGGACTATCAATTGTATCCCATTGGTCTACATGTCTATCATTATACCAGTGCCAAACTGTTTTGATTACTGTAGCTTTATACTATGTTTTGAGATTGGGAAGTGTGAGTCCTCCTACTTTGATCTTCTTTTTGAAGATTGCTTTGACTGTCTGGGGTCCCTTGAAGCTCCATATAAAGTTGAGGATTGGCTTTTCCATTTCTGCAAAGAAGGCTTTTGGAATTTTGATGGATTTTGCATTGAATTTATAGGTTGTTTTAGGGAGTATTGACATCTTAACACTATTAGTCTTCCAATCTATAAGCATAGAATATCTTTCCATTTATTTATGTTTTCTTTAATTTCTTCCAGTAATGTTTTATGGTTTTCAGTGTACAAGTCTTTCACTTCCTTGTTTAAATTTATTCCTAGGTATTTTATTCTTTTAGATGTGATTGTAAATGGAATTATTTTCTGAATTTCCTTTTCACATTGTTTATTGCTGAGATATAAGAACCCAACTGATGTTTGTGTGTTGGCCTTGTATCCTGTCACTTTGCTGAATTCATTTATTAGCTCTAGTGGCTTCCTAGTGGGTTCTTTGGGCTTTTCTCTCTATATAAATAGGATCATGTCATCTGTGAAAAAAGATAGTTTTACTTTCTTCTTCCCAATATGGACACTTTTTTTTTTTTTTTTTTT